GCTAAGTATTTGTAATATTGGGGCACAAAGGTTATTATTTAATAAAATAAAAATGTAAAAAACAAGCAATTCACTGTGGAGACAACTGTCCATTGCCAACAAAAGTCAGTTTTTGATTTTATACTCTAGAGTACTTTGAGGAAATAATAATATATTTCATGTATGTTGATTATTTTAACTTAGTTTTCCTTGAATTTTTCTGAAAACCAAAATAAAAATTTTTTCATTATGTTTTTTCCCTGGTAACCATCATTAGGATTCCCTTTTTTACTTTTGTATTTTTGTTGTTGTTGGCCAGCCTCTCAATATCTTTGTAACTCTCCTCATATTTGTTGTTTTTGTCTAGCTATATGATTCATCTTACTGATAAGAGAGTTAGCTGAAGACATGGTATAACATTTTTAAAAAATAGTTAAGCTGTAATCCGGACCAGCAACAAAAATCTGAATCTGGGTTAGGACTGCCTACCAAATCTGTTCAATGAGATAGCACAGATCAAGTGGCCAGAGGGTCCTAGAAAATCCACAGGCCTGGCCCCCCATCAGGGTTTGCCTAATAAGATGGGAAGTCCAAATCAAAACCTCAATGAGATATCACCTCACACCAGTCAGAGTGGCTAAAATTAACAAGTCAGGAAATGACAGATGTTGGCAGGGATGCGGAGAAAGGGGAACCCTCCTACACTGTTGGTGGGAATGCAAGCTGGTGCAGCCACTCTGGAAAAAAGTATGGAGGTTCCTCAAAAAGTTGAAAATAGAGCTACCATATGACCCAGCAATTGCACTACTGGGTATTTACCCCAAAGATACAAATGTAGGGATCCGAAGGGGTACGTGCACCCTGATGCTTATTGCAGCAATGTCCACAATAGCCAAACTTTGGAAAGAGCCAAGATGTCCATCAACAGATGAATGGATAAAGAAGGTGTGGTATATATATATATATATATATATATATATACAGTGGAATATTATGCAGCCATCAAAAGGAATGAGATCTTGCCATTTGCAACGACGTGGATAGAACTGGAGGGTGTTATGCTGAGCGAAATAAGTCAATCAGAGAAAGACATGTATCATATAACCTCACTGATATGAGGAATTCTTAATCTCAGGAAACAAACTGAGGGTTGCTGGAGTGGTGGGGGGTGGGAGGGATGGGGTGGCTGGGTGATAGACATTGGGGAGGGTATGTGCTATGGTGAGTGCTGTGAATTGTGCAAGACTGTTGAATCACAGATCTGTACCTCTGTAACAAATAATACAATATATGTTAAAAAAAAAAAAAAGAAGAAGAAGAAGAAGAAGATAGCAGGAGGGGAAGACGAACCATGAGAGACGATGGACTCTGAAAAACAAACTAAGGGTTCTAGAGGGGAGGGGGGTGGGAGGATGGGTTAGCCTGGTGCTGAGTATTAAAGAGGGCACATTCTGCATGGAGCACTGGGTGATAAACGCAAACAATGAATCATGGAACACTGCATCAAAAACTAATGATGCTATGTATGGTGATTAACATAACAATAAAAAATTTAAAAAAAAAGATGTTTAGAAATAGAAGGCAGCTTATGCCATGATTAGTTCAAAGAGATTTGCAAGCTTAGATTGACATCAGGTCTTTTCACTCCCTGAGATGATCAAAGAATCCATGTGTATTGGTCTCTCTTACTGACTACCAGGCCAAGCAAAGACCCAACCTATCTGAGGTCAACTCTGCCATCATCTCTTAGGTCATTTCATTTCTTTCAATCCATAGAATCTTATGAATAGAAAAGGTTAGATTTCTAAATAGAGTTTTGAGGCTAGATATGTGGTTTAACATTGTGCTGTATTATATCCTATTCAATTATATTAAAATTCCACAGATGTGCGCAGGAGAGTAGGTTGTTTTTGCCTTTAGCCAGATAAAGGACCAGATTTAAACAATGCCTGAGTAGGCAATTACTACATGCTGTGATTGGAAGCTTTCTCCAGCCACCTGTCACAATGGTGAAATTTTATCATTAGAGATCCATTTCTCTGGAGAAAGTCTGGCTAAGCTACAGACATTCTCCTGTACAATACAGACAGCTCTGATTATAGCCATAAGCACTGTTAACTGAATTATGATGTGATGTAACTTCTCGTTGAAGTTTTGACTGAAGAAAGGGGAAACTGCATTTGAATTAGATTATAGGCCAAGGTCTTGGTCACTGATTTGGATCAAGTATTTTAATAGAAGTAGACTAAAGTTTCCTGTAAATAATGTTCCATCCTATTCTGATACTTCTATTTTTTAATTTTTTTCCTATTCTGATAGTTTTAATTCCAAGCACACACAAACAACACACCAAAATAAAACAAAAACACCAAAGTAAAGCAAAAACACAAACAGGAAGGACTTCTCCAAAGGATGCGTCTGTCTGAGTGGTGGTGACTTTTCCCCAGTTTCTTTTCTATATCCAATTTTTTGACTACTTGAATACTTCTCTGTTTTCCCCACTAAGAAGCCTTGTTACAGCATTTATTCAGTCATGAACAAAAGTATTGGTCTTTTTTTCTAGGAGCTGGTATTGGGCAATGAACAAGACAGCCATAGTCTCTAATCTTATTGGCTCTTAAAGTCTGAAATAGAGGAAAAAATTAATGAGAAAATGCATTATGGTGTGATACATATTGAGCCAGAAATACAAAGTACAAGAGAGAACATAGGGTGTCAGGGACAGCCACCTGGTGAGGGAGATATCCAAGTTTCCAAGGTAAGAGTTAAAGGATAAAGGTAAATTAGCCAATAAAAGGAAGTTGGAGTGGAATTGTTTGAGGAAAAAGGAGTAGCACGTTTAAGACCACGTATCAAGGGGCGCCTGGGTGGCTCAGTCATTAAGTGTCTGCCTTTAGCTCAGGTATTAACCCCGGGGTCCTGGAATCGAGCCCAGCATCGGGCTCCCTGCTCAGTGGGAAGCCTGCTTCTCCCTCTCCCGCTCCCCCTGCTTGTGTTCCCTCTCTCGCTGTGTGTCTCTCTCTCTGTCAAATAAATAAATAAAATCTTTAAAAAAGACCAAGTATCAAGAGAGACATAGTGTATGCTGGGGAATGAAAAATAAAATTTCTCTGTAGCTTGAGCAAGGACTATGTCCAGCCCGGACTATGAAGGGACTTTAAAGCCATATTAAAGAGTATTGCATCTATCCTCAGGAAAATAAATACTAAGTAGAGGATTTTAAGCAGAGAGCCATCATTTCATTTTAGGAAGAACACACTAAAGATGTGTTGCAGATGGGCAATGATAGGGTAGGATACCAGCCAAAAGCCTGCACTGTATTTGAGGCAAGAGATGGTAATGAGCCAAGTAGAGTAATGACAGTGCGGAGGAGAAAAGGATGGAATCAAGAAATATTAGGAGGTAGAAGAAATGATTGGGAATTGATTGACTGATTAAACACAAAATGGTAAAGGACATGATAGAGAAAGAGGAAATATCCAGAATCATGCCTAATAAAGGCAGTGAATAATTGCCGGTCTCTGAAATAGAGGAAAAAAATACAGAGCAAGAGCAAAAGCAAGTTGGGAAGGTGGGAAGTAGATGAGAAGGGGGCCCAAAATGTGTCCATATTTGGTCATGCTGTTGCTTTGGTTGCTGTGGGGTGTCCAAGTAGAATTGTCGAGTAGGGCAATATATATGCACGTGTGGAGATCGAGGGGGAAGTCTGGACCGGAGACAGAGTTGAGAGTTGTGAGTGAAAGAGGACTAACCGAAACTAGAGGTGTGGGTGGAATGAGAAGAAAGGAAAGCCTAAGGTAAAATCCTGAGAACGATTTATGATCCAGGTAGAAATACCGAGAATGCCCTCCCACTCCTGTCGTAGTGTAAGACTTGCAGCTCTTTTAACTTTAGTCATAGTTGAGTAATGTTGTGTTCCAAGTTGGCTTCATTAAAGAATAATGGCATTTCTAATACATTTTAAGCTAAAGAGCCCACTGTATATTATTTTTTATTTTTTTAATATTTTTTATTGAAGTGTAGTTGCCACATGGTGTCACATTAGCTTCAGGTATACAGCATAGTGATGTGACAATATTACGCTGTGCTCTTCACAAGCAGGGTCGTTTTTAAAACCCCGCTCATGGTCTGTGGGACAGATAGTTCTCTTATACCAGATAATCATGTCTGCACATCATATAATATAGACAAATGCTTGCTGTGATGCATAACTTAAGGAATTCTCAGTAAGTTGCTTGTGCCAGTCCTTGCTTGTTCTAAAGGTGAACAGGTCCTTGAAGGGAGACTGTGCAGTTTGCTCAGCATGCTATTTATATTTGGAAAGTGTTAAATTACCCTAATCATACCTATAGTAACAATCAAGATTAATTGCAGCTGTATTAGGATTACTTATTATTTGTTCCAGTTCAGCAGTAACACAGATCCAATTGTACAAGTGATTTCCATAATCCAAATTGTGAAAGAAAACAGGGGGGAAAAAGCCCATGCAAAACTGGTAGAAATCGTATTTAAAATAAATCCATAACCAGATGGTTGTTGAAATTCTCTTTTTGAAAGGAGCTGATTCTGAACAGATTGTATATGTGTCTCACTGGTGGAAGTGGATTATCCATCTTGAATTGGATTGTGATGACGATGACCCTATTCTAAGTAAACCAAATCTCTTGAACTATATAATGAGATCAGGAGGAACATTCGGCCTGAGAACGACAGATTGCAACGACGCAGATGATTTCACTACTGTTTTTCTTTTTCCAGCTTCATTCCTTGATATACATAATTCTGTGGTTTTTGTCCTGCAGAGATTCCGGATCCTGTAGTTCTGTGTGCTAATTCTTATTTCTTATTTTTATTTTTATTTTTATAAGCAGAGCTGAATGAGTGGCAGGAAGCTGCGAAATCTATCTTACAAAAAGGTGATTATGACGGAGTCTAGAATCTTCATTTCCTTTGTTGCAGGTTTGCAGGAAAACTATTGCGAGTAAACATTGAACCGCTTCCTTCTTCCTTCTTTTCTTTAGGCCGTGAGGAGGCAAAAGTTGCTTGAGCAGAGTATCCAGTCGGCCCAGGAGATCGAAAAATCCTTGCACTTAATTCAGGAGTCCCTTTCCTCCATTGACAAGCAGTTGGCAGCTTATATTGCTGATAAAGTGGACGCAGCTCAGATGCCTCAAGAAGCGCAGGCAAGTAAACTGGGAATGAGATACTATTACTTGGTGTGTTATCGGAACACGACATTGCTGAATTTCAAAGTTAAAATTGAGTCAACTAGTTGTATGGAGGGTTATTTGATTGACTGATTTTACTGTTTGGAGGTAAGAGGGAAAAAGAGCTCTAGGTTAACACTCTAAGATTTATTTTTTAAAGTATGTAATAGAGGAATTTGAAATAGAGACACTTACAAGGCAGGGAAATAGCATTTGGAAGTCTGCTGTTAATCAGTATTTTCAAACTATACTTAAGCTAGAGGGAAACTTTAAGAATGTAAATTGTAAAGAAGGTATTTTTAGGGTGCCATTAAAAATGCAGTCTCAAATATTTTATTATCGACTCATCTTTGTTATTTTAGAATCATAAGTCTTATGATTTCTATATTGTTCTACATGTGATGTGTCATAAGTAGTTGATAGCAAAAAATTTGAGATGTAAATTTGCATTTATTACTAATAGTCATACCATATATACTCACATGTACTCACACATCCCACTCTGTTCAATCCAAATTATGAAATATGCTAAACCAGTTTTTCTAAAATGAGAGTTAAAATAATAATGAAAATAAATCTAAGTTAATTTTATACTGAATAAATTGATGGAATATCTAAATTAACTTCCATCTTGGGATGTAGTTTTTTAAATGCTATATTTCTATTTTTTAATAACTTTAAATACATGTAAAGTATAATAGGTATTATTTATTTCAATCTTTGGAATTTTCTGGTAGTAAGGTAATGTAACTACTTTTCAAATCTTAGGTACATTTTATGAACCCAATAACCACGGATAATTCAGACCAGTAAGTTAAGATGTGAGGGGCATTAGAAGGTTATCTACCCATCCCAAGGGCCCTCCCCCCACTAATTGGTGGAGATGCCTGAATGTTTTCATTTTAAAATGAATTTTTGGATTAAGTGTTGGATTTACAGATCATGGTTACAATGCAATTATAGTGCACTGAATCATAGTCTAACTGGTACCCAGAGCATCGTTACACACAATAGCATGAGGTAGTTTACCATATTGTCAAAGTTTGACCACAAAGTCCCTGAGAACATGGGGCAGGGTGCAAGTAGTTTTGATAGGCTTACAAAGTCCAGGGCACAGGGTTTCCTCATTGACCATTGCAACAGGGGATGAAGAAAGTATAGTTTAGGGGAATCCTGATGACAGCATCCTCATGATAGTTTTTCACTGGGACAAGTGTAAATAGTAAATGGGAGATGATTGTGAACACTGTTGAGGATTTTAAGCTCCCTGGTATATGCAATTCCTCAAGCTTACATTAGTCCAGTCTCAACCATTAACTCTTCGTAAGACTGTCCCAATTTGAGTCACATAGAAAATTTTATAGGCAGGCTTTAGAAAAATACATGACAGGAATGAGAAATTATTACTTAGTTGAGAAGAACTTCATGATTATAAACTAAAGGCAGAATAGAGTTGTTTCTTTTTTTTTTTAATTCAGTGACATAAACTTGGAGGAATGTTTGATTAAAGACTGCTCATAAATTTCTGAATATAATTAAGGGAAATTTTGAACAATATAAATATTAAATATTAAAATTGGACATTTGTACTATAAAATATATAGTTTTTCTAAGGCTTACAGAATGAACGTATGAGTAGCAATATGAAAGTATGAGATATGCAATAGCTATTATTGTCTTAGAAACAAATGGGAACTTTTAGGGAAAAAAAACTTGTTTAGTTGAAACGGTTGTAGACTGTGAGTGTTCTTTTTTGTTTAGATATGAATGCAGGATTCCATAAACATGAATATAACATACTAGTTTTTAATACCATAATATAAAGTGTTTTGTTTGTTTCTTTTCAAATAAAAAAGCTGTAGTAAAAATGTTTTTAATTATAACAGTTCAAAATACTTGCAAATAACAGCACAAAAGTCAATTAAGAAATTTCAAATCTACTTGAAAAAAGGGATTTTAGAGCACTAACAAGCTCAAATCCGTTTTCCATGCATTTCTGGTTGCACCTGCATTTTCAAGATAATTCTTGACTTTGAATTCCCCAACTGGTAATATATAATATTGGAAAATGCAGGCCACCCAAAAGAAAGAAAAACATTCTTCTCCAAGATTTTATTTTAAGATGACAGCAAGTGAATTGTTTTCTCAAACAGAGTTATCAGGTACTCAGATTTACTTCAAGAATTACATTTCCTGAAGCTCAATTTGAAACTCTCTTGAAAGAGACAAATAGAGAGTAAAGAGACTGTGAAGTAAGAACATAAGCAGAGTTTGCCAGAAAAAGAAGCCACTAAGAATGCCACCAAAATGACATTTTTTTCTAACTGTATATCATGGGGGCTAACTTTCCTGGCTTGTACTAATACAAAACAACTTGTTTCTTTAAATTTCCATCTAAGTTCATTGTTAATTAAAAGATTAGGTAGACTTAGCTTTCCCTTTTCAGAAACCGAGTGCTTGTTTTAGTATATCACTGAGAAGCCGGACAAACGAAACGAATGCCATTACTGTATTTGGTCCTCTTAAATAATGTGCTCAGATTCCCTGTCACACACTGGCCACATAGATTTGTGGATGTCTGACTCCACCGTGTGGTACAGTAGTAGTTTTGCTGCCAAATTAAAATTTGTTACTAGAGCCTTCTTTTTCTGCCTTTTAAGATTGAGATTCTCAGGAATAACAAATTTTCAGTATTACGAACATATACGCGATGTGTATAACTTTATAACAGCTATGCTCTTATTATTTATAAAAGGAGATGTAGATCAAGATGGGTTCTTGCATTACATTTGCCTTTATAACTACAGGGCAGAAATGAGCTCCCCACTGCCTCAGCATGTTCATTGATCAGTTATCTGTTTTGATTATAGAACTGGGCCTTCCAATTCTAAATCAGATTAAAAATATTTACTGTTTTATTTAGTAACATGAGCTCATAGGAGTGAAGTCTAACCTTTTAGACAGTAAGATTGCATATTGTGAGGATATCAGAGCATACAGTGACCGGAGTATTTTTTTTCAGTCATTAACACTTAAACCAAAATCTTAGATCATACAACCACAGCATCAACTGCCCAATACCAGGCCATTTAAAGCAAGATTTTTATTAAAGTACAAAATTAAGATAACATCTTATTGATTCAAATAGAGTAAAGCAAATGGGAGGAATTCTTCTAGATAGAAAAATTTATCTTCTAGGTACAGAAATCAGAAACTTAAGAACTATTTCAAAAGTAGTATGATTAAAATATAAAAAAACAATGAGTGCTTCTTCAAGAACAATTTTACGGTATAAAATCATCAAATTATATAACTGCAAAGCAACACATAGCATGAATATAGTTATTTACTCCTTAAGTGTCCTGCAGAACATACTGAAACACAGATTTAGTTTTAGCACCTACGATCTGGAAGAAAACTTCCCAGAGTGCACCCCACACCAGTCAGAATATCTGGGGGGAACTCAGTTGTCAGAATTATTGGAAATTCTCCCGAGTGTTCTCACATGTGGAAAAGGTTGAGAACGACTTTGGAGAGTTCATTATTGGTCATGGCTGAAATGCTCCACAGTTTTTTCCTCACATCACATTTCTCACCACTCACTCTTTGATATTCACACCTATGACATTGTCGAGATTTCAATGGGAGGGAGCTGGGGTGACTTTCTCTTCTATTTTGATTGTCCCCTTACTCTTATGGGAAATGAATAGAGGAGGAAACATAGCTGAGAATTCCTGCAGAAATGAATTAATTCAGGCAAGTAGAATTTTCAACATGGATGTTTGAAGATGAACTTGGCTTGGTTTTCTTATTTTCTTCTTCTTAGTCCCCTAATTCCACATATCATAATGTGCCATTCACCTTGGATGTGCCTCTCAATGATTGTAGGAGCCAAGATAATTATGTGCCAATAACCACCTTAATGTCTGCAATTCTTAAAATTACTAAGGTATTTCAGTCTACAGTTTTTCTTTCGAATTATACCAGTAATTTCATAAGTTTGAATCTCTAGTATGTAAGAAAAATCCAACATGGGTACCTGTTGAAATGCTCTGTATCATGAAGTGTTGATGATACACACTTTATAGAGAATATTATGGTGTCACTAAGATTACCACAAGAAGCAGTGGGCTGCCTAGCGGTGATTGCAATGGCTCGACTATTTCTTTTGTCCCACAGATTCCTGATCCCATCTTTTGCAACATCTCCCACATAGTAGATTTATGTGCATGAGTAGAGGGGAAAAAATTTACAGCAATTTAGGAAACAAATTATCATCAAAGGAGAGGACTTCATAATCAATAAAGAAAGTGCTCCTATATTTCACTCATCAAGCTGGGACTTTCGCATACTCTGGTTCCACTATAGACCGAGTTTCTTCCTTCCATCTCTTTTCCCATCCCATTAGCAATGTGGCTAAAACTTAGTGTCAACAAATAGAAAAGAGGGATCTTCTCACTGATATGAGGAATTCTTAATCGCAGGAAACAAACTGAGTGTTGTTGGAGTGGGGGTGGGGTGGGAGGGATGGGGTGACTGGGTGATGGACACTGGGGTGGGTGTGTGCTCTGGTAAGTGCTGTGAATTGTGCAAGACTGTTGAATCTCAGATCTGTACCTCTGAAACAAATAATGCAATATATGTTAAGAAAAAAAAAAGAAGAAGAAGAAGAAGAAGAAGGTAGCGGGAGGGGAAGAATGAAACGGGGGAAATCGGAGGGGTAGACGAACCATGAGAGACATAGACTCTGAAAAACAAACTGAGGGTTCTAGAGGGGAGGGGGGTGGGAGGATGGGTTAGCCTGGTGGTGGGTATTGAGGACGGCACATTCTGCATGGAGCACTGGGTGTTGTGCACAAACAATGAATCATGGAACACTTCATCTAAAACTAATGATGTAATGTAGGGGGATTAACATAAGAATAAAATAAAAAAAAAAGAAAAAAAAAGAAAAGAGGGATCTTCTTTTTACTAAA